TTTGTCATTATCGCACACCCCTAGTAAAACTAGTGCTGGGCGGAATACCGGTGTTTATTTTTGTTATGATATGAATTTTTAAAATACCGCAATACCGGTGTATGTCACTTAAACAACGTTCGAAACGCAACACTGTTTGAAAGGGGTCCCTTTTCACTGTTGCACTGTGGTGAGGGAACAGCTGTATGTGATACTAAGCGTGAAAGTTCCGAAACTGAAGCTGTAGAACTAATAGAACGTGATGACACAGAAGAACTCATCCACAATATCCACATTGACCGCCACAAATATCCACCACCCCCTGCCATCAGCTTCTGCGTCTCACACTCACAGGAGTGTCTGTTAATATCACATGCACTTTTTTGTTTGTTGTTTTTTTTTGTTTGTTACTCAGATGCAGGCAGTGCGCTGCATGAAACAAAAAAGTAATATAGCCAAAACAACTGCATAGCCGCTCTTTAGTGTAGATGCATGTTGATTTTATCAGACGATGCCGCAATTATAAATGAGAGTGACTCCTGGTTAACATGTATTAAAAGGGGTCGTGTTTAGTCACTATTTAGTGTGGTATTTTTTGACAATATTCACTCATCATGACAGTAAAATAGGGCATTCTAAGTCAATATACTGCAGTATTTTCTCTCTCAATCAGTAGAAAATATGGTTAACACCTGGTCATGCATGAAAAAAAAAACCTGTCATGTACCGTGAAACCGGTATAATTTTTAAAAATACCGTGATATAAATTTTTGGTCATACCACCCAGCACTAAGTAAAACGTACTCCAATAATACAATAATTTTAAATATTTTTTATGTGACCTGCAGGCATTCCTGACCACACAAATATATGGTCATCATGGAGGGGAGAAGCATGGGGCGTTAAGTACAGGCATGGTTTACAACCCCAGAGCCAAGTAGACCCCTACTGTGTGAATATAAGTGCTTCATACTTTATTAAGACCTATATGCATACATATACACAGCATGTAATCAACAACAAGTGGCATGCACTCAGTGGTGTGGTGCACGCTCATTTGCTGTGCGATCATGTAGGTCGCAATCAGCAAGACTCCACATGCAGAAACACAGATATAGAATCACTTTCAAAATTATAAGGGGATTAATTTATTCCCTGCAATTAAAAATAATTAGCTTGTAAGACATATGATGGAAATATGACATGTAAGAGAGTGTTTTCTGTGTAGATATGCATTGATATACAGTCAGTCAGTGGTCTTAAACTGTTAAAAGTCAGGAGATAAGAATTCCATAATAAGCCTGACAGCAAAAGAATCCAAATACTCAGAATTTAATCAGTAAAACACTGTATTGCATTTTCAGATGTAAAACTGAAAAATCTAGTCTGTTTAGTCTAATTATTTCTGGCCTTTTACCTTCCATTTTAAAGGACAATACAGAAATATCAACCTGATCTCACAGGAAAATGTAACTATTTTGCTAGTTGCCGATTTCATATAAATTGGTACAATGTGAATTGCATGAAAACGTATTACTTTTAGAAAAAAGAAAAGAAAAAACTAACCATGAAGCTCCGTCCCTAACCTTCACTGGGGTGTAAACAGATCATAGAAAAAAGTATGAATAAAGTATGAATGAGAACATATGAATTCATAAGAACTGGCCACCAATTCAGCTAAACATAAAGTAGCCAAGAATTACCATGAGATTGCTTTGGAAAGACAGGACATTTTCAAATCAGATCAGGACATGCACCCTATACATTGCTTCACAGCTCCAGCTGCATTGTCATTGAAAAGCATTATTGAAAAAAACACAACTGCTGATGCTCAATTCTTAATTGTTTTCTTAAGGTGCATCCCAAATTCCCAATGTGCCTACTTATGCACTATTCCATGCCATTTTTTAGCTTAAATAGTGCGAGCAGTGTGATTACACTGAAAATGTGATTTCACACTGAAAATGCATTTTAAATACATGGATGATGCACTTAAGTAACCCCACCACACCCACAAAAAAGGGCTGAGTATATGGCTTAGTAAAAAAAAAGGCTGAGTAGAAGCAAATGAAAGCACATTACCTACACATAGTCTTTCATGCAAGCCAAGTATCAGAGTTGACAACTGCTGTTCAAAGATGAAAATATTTTACATGTAGTCTATTTTAAGCAACAGTAAACCAGTTAGTGTGATCACTGATATGTGGTATGATAGTGTGGCTTTTATTTTAGAACACCAGCTTAATTTACTTGAACTTGTTCATTTTGTACTTCCAAGCCCTTTACAAGTAATATAACTTTATGCAAATAGTCTGACTTTGTCTAAACAGGCTTTTCCACTATTGGAGCCAAATTATTCTGAACACTGAGAGTAGTGGTACCAGTACACTGTAAAAAATGACCATGCATTTAACGGTAAAAGACTGTAAAAATCCTACAGTAAAAACCTGTTAAATTGTTAACGGTAAATTCCCCTACTATATATGGTGAAAAACTGTATTGGACATTACATGTATTGGACATTAATTTTATGGTAGTATACCGTTTTTGGAAATGAAAAAGACCATATAATTTACAGTGAATAACCGTAAATTGACATTCCCAGAATTCCCTGCGTTACATTTAAAATTTGATGTTTTTATGATAACTATGTTTCTTCTTAGTTTTTTCTTATATTAGTTTTGTATATTAGGGTTGTATGTTACACCTAATGTTGTTAAATGAATGTTTATTGCATTATTTCAGTTTCATGTGTGTTACCACGATGGTGTTTAGTGTTTGTGTGAATGACACTGTGCACCTTCTATATATGTTATTTTTTGGCTTTGGTTCATCATGTGATTTTCTCATCACCACCTGCATTTGGTGGCTTTTTACCGTAAATTTTATGGAATTTTTTTTTACAGCGTAGTATTTCCAGTAGAACATGGTTCGGAATAGTAATATTATAAAAATAAAGCTTTTAAGACTAAAACATTTTCTTCTCCACTATAAAAACCTTTTGTGTGATGGAAAGTTTCCATGGATGTTAAAGAATCTTTATTTTTAAGAGCTATAACTACATGCACAGATTTCTCTGCACGGTTAGGTAACAGTACTTTACTGATGTGGATACTCACAATATACGATCACACATACAGTATTCGATTTCTCAGCAGCACGATGAAGAGAAAAACAGAGTTACAGAGCAGATCAGTACAGGATGACATGATTCAGCAACAATGCAACAAAAACTTGCTATCATGTCGACCTGAAATCTATTTATGCATGCAAGTATATTCCTTTGAATTAAAGGTCATATATAAGCACTCGTAAAAAAAAAAAAAAACTTTTATGCAACAAACAAAAGGCTCATTCCCACTGTTAGGATTTTCTCTTTAAATTAGTATGGGAATGGGAATACATCAATATGTATACATCAATATATGACAGATACACCTGGCAGATACACCTTCACCTTGCACAATCAAACTCCAATTCTAGCGCTCAGCCTGATATATGTCCTTTGATGAATATCATGAACTTGACTAGCAAAGTATGCTATTTTTAAATCTCTCTTTCTCATCTCTCTTTGCTTTGTGAGATGTCCCCAGACTGGTGAACCTTTTGCACAGTGCCACGTGCAGAGCATGTCTCAACAATCCTCCCCCTCTGAGAGCACACAACTGCACAACTGTGTCAGCTTCATTCCTGTCACCATACACCATGTGACACCACCAGGATGACACCAAAAAAAAAAAAGGAAAGAAATAAAAGGAAAAAACAGATAAATGTAAGGAAACGATCCTCCAAATCAGCCACTTCACAGGAAGCAAAACAATACTGATGTTTTACGAAAATACCCAGGTGAAGTGCTCAAGCATTCAGAGCACTTTGCAGGATTTGGGCTGCATTGGTGAGGTTGTGGCCTATAGTTTTGTGAAGTGGGCTACAAGTCATTCCATTCATTTTTCCCACTACTGGCTTTTATTCAATTAGCAACTCTCGCCTAACAACATTCTTCAAACTCAGAGCTGACTGAGCACAGATATGGAAGCCCAAAACCAAAGCAGCTGTACAACAGCATTTGAAAATGCCACATCTGTAAGTAAGGACAGCATTGTGTGATTTCATAATGGGTTCTTTAAGGTTGATTACGATGTACCTCGTCTATGCAATCACTGTTAAATATCAGACACATCTTTGATGGCCTGCTTCTAATATATCAATTCCACATCCTTTACTGTTTGGACAGCATCCAAACACAATCCTCAGGGTCAAAGACTTAGAGTAAATGGAATATCACTCTATTGAACATGCTGATCAGAACTCATTCAGGCTTCTGAAGACCCTGATGGGCTGACGCTGTGAAACCGAATAGGTTTCCACAATCCTGTTCATTAGCTCTGTCACTGATGTAAGCTTCGAGTACAACCATGGGCAAATGAATGTATTGACCTGCAAAGAGAATACAACTCCATGGGTGAGCCAATAACCTCATGCACTGTAAGATGCCACCAGGGAAATATTTGCAACTACTTTTCATACAAGGCGATCAATCGCCCACTAATAGTCTTTAGTTCTCTATGAGGTTTATTCTCAGTTACATTAATAATGGATTTAAACGGAACGAGTCAATGAACATTTATTATTCTCACTAACTCTTTAGTCATTCGAGCTTCATTCAATCCAGAAATCTTTTTAATTTTGTAACAAGACAGGTCATCTACAAATACAACACCACAAGAGCCTACTACCAGCATCTGCTGCAAGACAGATAAGAAGCAATTTTATACCAGATACTCCATGATTATGAGCTTTACAGTAAAAGCTGGATGATAAATTAGCTCTCCAGCCCACACAATGCGTGTGTAGGCCTTAACGTGTCAACCATTCCAAACTCAAGAACACGCTTAGAATGTGTAATTCAAGCACGCTGCTCTAAACAAAACAGGTGCTGCATTTTAAAGAGGACAAGCAATAAATACCCGACCTCGACTCTTCAAATCACAAGTGCCATTGAAAATAAAGCGCTGCTCAAGCTCACCTCCAGATCTGTCCCAGCTGTAAGATGTGAATGACGGACTGCAATAGCCAGATACAGAGGGAACAGGACGCTGAGCGTGTCTTACTAGTCCGGGCTGCAGTAGCGCTGTTGCTGCTGTTGCTTGTGGTGTTGCTCTTGCTCGCCGTGGACGCCTGTCTTTGAGGCGTAGACGGGTGGGCTCCTACGTCTCCGTGCGAAGCGGAGCAGCTGAGCAGCTTCCCGTCCATGTGGGAGCAGTTCGCCGCGCTGCCGCCGGAGCTCTCCTCGGTGCCGAAATCATGGACGAACCAACGGAAACTGAAGACCTGCACGGAGAACGAGCCGAGCACCACAAAAAACAGCGTAAGCCCGAACCACCAGTAGTCGCGGCGGAGATAATAGTCGACCGAAAGCCAAATATCAGTGCCCACATCCGCGAAATACACCGTCACTGCGGCGAGGATCCACAGACAGTCACAGACCGTGTATTTCTGCTGCTCACTGCCGAGGCGGAGACATGTCGAATTTGAGCCACAGCACCGCGGCTCCCCGTTGACGAAGTCCGCCTCTCCGGTTCCAGAATCCGGCTGCGATCCCGGAACGAGCCCTTGAACCGAACCCGAGTGATCTGAATTCTGCAAAGGCGTAAATGCTACATCGCTCTTCTTCATCTTTAGCACCCCGTCGGATTTCGCGGCCATTGTAGCAGCTTTATCTTCTCACCGTTTTCGCGTCTTTCTCCTCGGCTTCTCTATTCCAGGCGAAGAGACACTGGGCTGGGCGACCTTCTCTTCCGCCAGCTACAGCGCCGCCTGCTCATAACAAAGCAACACTTCCTTTCGGTAGCGGGTACGAACTGTATGCTCTCCCATGGCTCCTACTTAAAACTATGACATCATTGCTTTGCAACTCTTCTTCAGGCGCACATCATGGTGTTCAATATCCAGCTATCGCAGCACAGCCTTCTGCTAACTTCACATTCGTGCATAAAAATAATGTCTACTGCAGCGGTATATTAAAGAGCTGACCGCTCGGTTGCTATGGCATTTGTAAACGTGCAGTTTTGAATTCCACCCTGAACCGAACACTGTCCACTGGACGCGAGCGGCGCGACAAAAGTAAACCCTATACAGGAAGCGTCTGTTGTGTCTGCTGTGGTCACTTTATTCTGCTCACCTGAAACAATTATTTACACATATCATGTCTGTGTCAGTTTTACATTTTAATTGACAGTTGGATCAACCCCAGCTCGTGTAGTTTCTGGTCTACTCATTTAAATAACTTTTTTTAATCATATATATATATATA